TAATGCCGCATTGTGCAGCGGAACACCTGCGTTGGCATCCAACGGCATGGCGTGATATATGCACGAAATTCTCACGAGACTGCAGGCATGTATGCTGACGAGCTGTGCTCGGTTGTATGCATGTGTGTGTGTGCGCCTCATTCCTTGGATTGTGTGCGACGAAGTGGAACTAGTTTGGTGTTAGCGCGTTAATTGAATTATTTAGAATGCCCAACTAATCAGCTACAAAGTGCGGTTATAAAAGTTCCTAAGCAGATTAGGGCAATAAAGGCTTAAAATGTGCATGTGTGTGTGTGATGTTGTTGGTATCTTCCACCTCTTAGGAAGCGAAAATCATGTGGTTGCGTTGGATATATTTTAAATAGCTTGTGACAATATAAGCTTTAATTAAAATTAACAAGATGGGATGTGTCGAAAATACTTTCCTGCTATGGATAAATGTAATGAGAGGAGAGGCAAGTCACAGGTAAAATCGCTGAGCAAAGGTTTTGTTTAAAAGTGTTCTACCAATTGGACATTAATCCATGTCACATCTCGCGATGATATCCCGTAAAATATGAAAGAAATTTCAAGCTGGCTCCTGTTAGAGTCATTACATTGCAGGCAGGCGAATACTGACGTATTTTCCCAATCATCCCCTTGAGACCGTTAGACTGCTTTATATGCATCCTCAGAAGTAGCTGAATGGGTAATACAAGGGCCATTGCTAATGAAGTATCTGGCGTTCGATACAAAACTAGTTAGGGGTAGAGACCTCCGAATCCAAAACTCAAAATGGAGGACAACAAAAGAACGAAGCGGACTGTGATATCGGTCCACGACAGGGGCCACACCTCCACTGTAATCGGAGCAGGTTGCGGTGGTTGTAGTGCTCCTGCCAAACCAGCTTTTCAGCGCACGCGTGCCAGAGTCTATGAAGACTCGGACTAAGAAAGCCCTTTAAACATAAATGCAGAAAAGGAAGAGAACTTCTTCGCTCACCTGTGCAGGCGACGAGGGTTCCAACTCTGACAACCAGAGAGGGTCCCGAAGGAAGCTAAGCAAAGGGGTATTGAAGACAAAAACGTAAGGCAAGTGCAGCCTGAAGGAAAAAAATAAGGTGAAACAGCTGGTTTGGGCTAGAGAGGAGGTTAAGAACGGCCGAACACACTTCAGCACTAGTATTTGGTGTAATACCTCGGATTCAGCCTAACCGCTTTCAGGAACATATCGCTGGAAAGCAGTATCGTTCGACGGAGGGCGAACGAAAGGCGCCCTCGAAAAATAGAAAGTGCGAAGATGTAGCTGGTAAGCTAGACCTCAAGCATACGGACGACAAACCGACAATGTTCATGGCAGCGGTAACGGCCAATGAGATTAGGAAATGGCACTTGACCGTCGCGCTCATAGACCGCAGTAACCCGCTAGGACAAATGTCCCACGAGTGGTGGAGTATTGGAAACCCTCTTCTCGAGAATGAACGTCAAACCGAGCGCTGCCACGCCGTCATTTGATGGAACAGCATAGCTTAGCGTAGTCATAATTTTGAAATGCAACGACAACCCGACGCTAACAAGGGTAAGGGAACCGGTCAAAACGCTTCCAAACCTGTAGCAAAAAGCCAAGATGGAAGTGGTGGTCCGCAGCAGTATTTCATCGGTGCCCAAAGCGAAGGTGGACCCGAAACATGCTCAGCAGCTGCTACAGAGACAAATCGGAACGTGCAACTAGCGACTGGAGAGTATTCAGTATGACGAAATCCATCAACGAAGATGGTGGCCAAAGCTACATCCTTCAGTTCAATAAAGCGACAGAGAAGATTTTGTGCACGCGGTCCGGAAAGATGGCGTGAAGTGTTGGAAGCGCTTTTCTTCATCTCAACAAGCGCCAACCGCGGACGGCAATAAAAACACACTGAAGATGGGTGAAGCAAACAAGGATCTCGGCGCAGAATAGATCATCATTTGTCCTAAAGGAGGTGGAACTGGAGGAAAAACCCAGTCAACAGTCTGATGTTGCAAAACCAACGAGTTGAGTGTATTCCAAGTGAACATCAACATGAGTAAGATCGCCTCTGCCGAGCTTCTTCTCAACTTAAACCCAGACTCGAAGCAGTCAGATATGAAACTGAAAGATTCTATCCAAGAAAACAAGGTTTTATATGACCGATGCTCCCGAAAAAATCTTCAAGATCTTCGAGTAGCTAAGAGCTGTGGTGCGAAGCTATCTTAGTAATAGAAAACTGCTGTTCCAAACTATAGATTCCTCACGACAGATAGCAGTTACATCAGGAACAGCGCAAGGATCCATTCCAGGCCCAGTTTTCTGGAACATATGTATAATATATTAAAACTCGAAATGCAAGACCTATTGAATTGGCTACGGGTACGATATTGCAGCAGTAATCACAGCATGAAGCACAGAATAAGCGGGGAAAAGCTAAATCAGATCGTCAAACAGACCTAAGCATGGCTTGCCTCGCACAACCTCCAACTCGCTACAGAAAACACATAACGAATACTGATAACTAATAAGCACATATCTCTCGAGATAAGACGACTACGGTTATAATAACGACCCAACAGGCAGAAAGCCACCTAAACGTAAGAATTAACACCAAACTAACCTTCTGGCTACAAATCCAGCACGCTGCAGGAAACACTGTGAAAGTTACATCCCAACTTAGCCGACTAATGGCCAACATAGGCGAGCCACCCAAGAAAAGAGAGAGCTCAAAAAGTTGACCAACAGCAACGCGCAAGTTGAACAGATTCGAGATGTGATACATTCCGCAGCACTCAGAGTTGCATCAGAAGAGCAAATAGTGTCAGATTATGTAATGTTAGCTATAATGCCCCAATTGACCTACTGGCATACGAAAGAAAAAAGCTATGGAAACTAAAGAAATAATTCGAAAATGACCAGAGCCCAATAAACAAATAAAGAGCGATACAAAAGCAACATGACAACGAAGATGAGAGAATGAATGAGAGTCGCGACAGATGGATGGCCAGACCTAAACTCATGAGCAAGCCGTAAATTCGCAGAAGTCGACATCTACACTACATAGCCACTATCGGGACATGAATACTTCAAAAGAAACTCTCCTTACGGTCTAAAAAAATAGAAATTTTCGGCTAAGACATATCGTTTTACAATATACAAATTTTAAACTAAAAATTTCTCTTTCTAATTTTTTCATTCAAATAATACCAAAAAAAAAAAAATTTCTTTTGGCAATTTGACACACACTAATGTGTACAGAAAATATTGCATTTTCAAAACTGCATGCAGTTAATATTTGACCGCATGTTCTAGTCACACTTTCACTGCGACGTATTGCCGTTCCCATAAGCCTTTTGTCTCAGCCATCAAGTTCATGTCTGAAAACTGGTTCGGCGTGCCAATAATGTGACAAGCATTCGAGCACGTTGCCATATACACAAGGAAAGCAGTTAAAAGTGTTTTTTCAGTTTAATTTATTTTTTAATTTCTTCATTTCTAAGTTATTTACTTGATCAAGTCCATGCACAGTTCATATAGTTATTTGCATATATTTAACACCTTAGCTCAAAAGTATAAACCATTGTTTTGAATGGCAAGCAAAGTTACTTAACGAAAGCAAACAAAAAATTCCAAAACAAAACACTCCGAAAAAAAAAAAAAAATGAAAGATCTGAAGACAATCAACTAACTCTGCTGGGCAAGCTGTAAACAGAGTTGAATAGTTAGCGCTTGAAGATCAGGTTGAAGGTTTACACATAAATATATACATTCACATATTTACATACATACATATGCACATACATATATACATACATCTCCACGTGTGTGAATGCGCATGCATGTGCTGGCCATCATTAAAGTTCGTTTTGCGCTCTTCACTGCTTTTGCAGCATCATTGAGATTGCATAACTATTGTGGCGCTCATCGTCTTCAGTTCGTTAGCAAAGGGATACAGTGGTGGCGAAACATAGTGGGACAAATTAAAGTAATTGTTGGTTTAATGAAGTTGCTGCTGTTTTTACGTAAGCAGAGCACTTTGAAATTTCCAAACAGAATATTAAATTATTAAAATTTATTTTTAAATAAAATTTTTGTAAATTTAAAAAATTTGTTTCTTTTTAATTTTTTAGATATATATAAAATATTAAATAGTTTTTATACAATTTATTAATAATTAAAAACCATAAAAAAAAAACAAGAAAAAAACATTGACTTCGCTTAGTTCGGAAAGTTTCTGCAGCCGACATTTATTTTTTTTCGGTAATATTATATGGAAGCTGTAGCTTATAGCTGTCCGATCTGAACAATTTCTTAAGATACTGTTGCGTTGCCTTAAATAATATTATGTCCTAAATCGTGCTGATATCTCGACAAATAAAAAATTTTCCATACAAAGTCTTGCTACCGATCATTCAGTTTGTATGCCAGCTATATGCTAAAGTGATCTGATCTTAACAATTTCTTCGGAGAATGTCACCATGCTTTAGGTATTTAACCGTGCCAAATTTTGTGAAGATACCCCGACAACTAAAAAAGTTTCCTGTACAAAGACTTGCTTCTGATTGTTCAGTTTGTATGGCAGCTATATGCTATAGTGTTCTAAAATCAACGGTTTCGACAAATGAGCAGCTTCTTGAGGAGAAAAATACGTGTGCAAAATTTTAGACCAACATCTCGGATAATAAGAGACCTGTTCGCGCATGTACCGGCTAAATCGACTCAGCTCAACACCCTTTACTTCTGGCTGTCATAAACTTCGTGGTAAATTTGAAGCCGCACTAAAACATAATCAAATTTGACCATAGACTAGATAAAGTTAAAAAAAGAATTATTGAAATATTTAATATTTATATATATTCTCTTTTCTTCTATTTTCGCCAGCCTTTTAACAAGCACAATTTATTAGCCATGACTGTAAGTGAAATTATATTAATACTACAAGGCGTAAACAGTTTACTACGGAAAGTATAAAAGACTGTCACAGAAATGAACTGAGCACAGTATAAACACCGCAACCAAACGTTTTCTCGCAAACTTTCATTTGTAGAAAATTTTGAAAACTAAAAAATCTTGTAAAAGTGAAAGAGTTAAATAAATAGTGACAAAGAGTTAAAAAAGTTAAACAAATAGTGAGTATTATGATGATTCAAAATTGCTATTTACATTAAAACCAAAATATAATTAGCGGGGATATTTAATAAAATTAAAAACCGAATGTGAGTCTAAACCTAAAAGGAAAATTGTAATTCGTGGAATAATTTATAGTAGAGTTTTCGATGTGATTCGGTTAATAACTGATAATCCTATTGCGAAAGTGATCAAATGAAACTGTATCTGCTGACAATATCCCTTTGATGTCGTTGGTATCATCACTGAATCCATAGTCCAAGAGTTTCAGAGGGAAAACTCGAACTCTGCTACACAAACAAAAAGTTCTGAAAATGGCCTACTTTTATCCATTGTTTGAAAGTTACACTCATTACTTCTCAAAATGTCATGTGTACATATATCCCGAATGTGATAGTGACAGCACATCATGAAATTCTCTGCTACCTCAACTGTAGCCCTGAAAACTTGGACCTCTGCATCATAGAGTGTACTCGTGGCGGCTTTTACGCTGTTCACATACCGGCGAGACATATGTGGACGCGAAGCAGTGATTGATTATGAAGCTTGAAGAGGAAGTTCGACACAAGTTTTCCGTAAAGAGCTCTGCGTCAAGCTTAGCTTTAGGTAACTAGATTACTGTGTAGGTAATAGACATACTGCTCCGAAGTGTTGTCATCTTGCGCTTTAGCTCGGGACATATGGACCTCGCATTAGTCGAAGACCGGGTGTGACTTCGAGATTGTTTTGAGTTAGCATAAAACGCAGAAGATCCACTGAACCACTTGCCTTTTGAACCGTTCATCTTGCTGCAATCGTGGAAGTTCTTACTGGACATTGTTGAACGCAAGTCGTCAAAGCTGTAGGTGGAAACATCCAGAAACTTTCTACCCCATTGGCCAGCCTTTGCGAAACTGAAGTTGAAACAGCTCGGCAGGCTCATTTTCGGCGAACCAGGATATGTAGAGGAAACTGACACCAGCAGCCTCAACAAATTTTTGATAAGCACTAGCGCCAGGTTGTCCAAGTAAGATCCCTGTTTCGATCAATCTCCTGGCCTTCAAACTTTCAAACAGTTCTCAAACAATCTGAAAACAAATGGTCGATACTGATACTAAGAAACATTAATGCCCAAAAATATTTCAAACCACGGTGTTGGAAAAGCATTCGTTAACCTTGACCACTAATTTGATAATATTACTGTATAATTTTTCTTCATTTTTATGAAGTTTAGATTAATGAAGAGCGTCTGATACTCAATATCACTACTATATCTTCTTTTACAGCAAAACTAAATTATTTGAACATAAGTTCAGAAGTTTGCAACTAGATATGGACGCGGATACCTTCAGAGCATTCGGTAAAGCTGCTGTGGACTTTATAGCCGATTATTATGAGAATATACGCAATTGGTAAGAAGGAACACTGTATGACCAAAAATCAAAGTAATAATATCGAAAAAACATTTTCTTTTTCGCAGCGATGTTCTACCTTCCGTAGCGCCAGGCTATTTGATCAAACAGCTACCGAAAGAGCTGCCAGAAAATCCACAACAATGGCAGGAAATTCTGCAAGATGTTAATAAACTCATCGTACCCGGCTTAACTCATTGGCAATCACCGAATTTCCATGCATTCTACCCAACTGGCTGCTCGTATCCATCCATTGTCGGAGATATGCTTGCTAACGGCTTTAGTGTGATCGGCTTTAATTGGGTGAGTAGACTTAACATCGAAAGTTGTAAGATATTTCTTCAAAAGTTTTTTTACACAAAAATTGACGCTTATAATACCTTTCAGCTCTGCAGCCCCGCTTGCACCGAGTTGGAAGTAGTTGTTATGGATTGGTTGGCGAAATTCTTCAAATTGCCAACACATTTCCTACACTCGACCAAAGGACCTGGTGGCGGAATTATACAAGGTTCAGCCAGTGAGGCTGTACTAGTCGCTGTGATGGCGGCGCGTGAACAAGCGGTGCGACGCGTGAAGGACGCCCAACCAGAGCTGAGTGAGGGTGAGATACGCGCACGCCTTGTCGGCTACTCCAGCGATCAGAGTAATAGTTGCATAGAAAAGGCGGGCATTTTGGGCACATTGCCGATACGTTTAGTTGCCGTCGATGAGTCTCTGGTATTTAACGGCACACAGTTAGCCAAAGCAGTGAAAGAGGACCTGGCGAAGGGGTTCATACCTGCAGTTTGCATTGCTACAATGGGCGCCACAGGTACTTGCTCGTATGATGACATCGAGTCGCTGGCGACTGTCTGTGAGGAGCATAACATATGGTTGCATGTGGATGCTGCTTACGCGGGCTGCGCATTAGCATTGGATGAGTATGCGCATCTACGGCAAGGAATCGATCGCGTCGATTCGCTGAACTACAATCTACACAAGTCAATGCCTGTACATTTCGACTGCACAGCTATGTGGTTGCGCGACTCACATAAGATTGTCGAAAGTTTCACTGTGGAACGCGTCTACTTGCAACATAAGTACGAAGGTCAAACTGATATACCAGATTTTCGTCATTGGCAAATACCGTTGGGACGTCGCTTTCGTGCACTCAAAGTTTGGGTAGCTTTCCGTACTCTTGGCGCTGAAGGTTTGCGTGAACATATTCGCCTTCGAATACGTCTGGCCGAGCGTTTCGAGCAGTATGTGCTAACCGATTCGCGTTTCGAGCTATTCGCCAAACGTGCCATGGGTCTGGTCTGTTTTAGAGTGAAGGATAGTAATGAGTTATCTACAGAGCTTTTGAAGCGTCTAACAGATCACAAAAAGATCTATATGGTGCAAGCGATATTTCAAGGAAAGACTTTCCTACGTTTTGTCGTTTGTGGTATGGAACCAAAGGAATGTGATATAGACTTTGCTTGGCAAGAAATTGAGTCACAGCTGAGCCAGCTGCTGAGGGAGCGTGAGGTTGCAGAAGTCGCAGTGAATTCGGTGGAAGAAAAGAAAACAGAAGAGAGCTACAAGGAGAGCATCAAAGTACCGCAAGTTCACCGCAAAGAAGACATTGTCGGTATCAGTCAACAACTAAGCTCGGGTCTACACCTAAGCATAGGTGCCGCGGAAAAATGTAAATGAAAATTCAAACATATGAACATATGCTTATATTTATATGCCAATTTGGCTAAACTAGTTTACAAATTTTCATAATAATAAATTACCTAATAGCCACTAAGAACTTGTTACTTAAATTAACTTAGTCTAACTAAAAATTGGCAGTCCGTTCACTTAAAACCAACAATGGAGTAAGTAAACCTCTTTACTTACATTCGAGTTTATAACAGCGCGCCAATTTGAGACCACAAATGCAGCCAGGTCCTTCTCCACCTAATCTCTCCAACTGTGTAGAGTTCTTCCTCTTATACTTACTATACTTACTGTATCAACGATGTCTTTTTGCCACTGAGGTCGTTGTGAAGAATCCAAGCATTTACTGTGGAAAGCATCACAACTTTGAAAAATACTCTTTTCCATCACCTCTGAGATTTTCGATTTAGATCGTATACCAGTGATTTTTGATCGGCCAGGCCTACGCCGCCCATTTTATGGTTGTAGTCCTTAAAAGATAACGAACAAACAACTTGTTACTTTTTACCTTTCATTTGTTTTCTGTCTACTTTGGATATTTTTGGCTTGTGGCAGTTAGAAGCAACTAGTATTTCCTTGGAATCCATCCAACGCGTAGCCATTACACCATCACAGCTTATTTGGAACTGACTTTGTCCACGTACTAGTCGCGACTCGAACTCCGTAGTTCCCATCGCTTTCGCATATATATGATTGCATGACAAATATTACGCCAATATTTCATGTTCATCCGTTGGGGCCCTATTAGCATTTTTCTCACTATTCAGTTTTCTTATTCGCTGATTTGTACACTGTGCAATGAAAATGCAAAAACTTTTTGGAAAAAGTTTTCTAAATGCATTGAACTCGGTAGCTCCTCGAGAAAAAGTTACCAGCACTTGCGAAGGCATTTAAAATTTGGGTTCAAAGTTTAAATCTTTCGTTAGATCAGTTCAAGTAGCAACGGCAACTGGTTCACTTTCCGCATATTCACCTAGTTCTTCTTCTTCTTTGGAAATTACACATAAGTCACCACCACCGCCATTCTGAAACTTTACATATTTCCACAGTAAAAAGTCTAACGATGTGATATCATAAGATCTTTGGGGACAAAGACGGGAAGTTATCTGCTGACCGAAGTGTGCTCTCAAAAAATCATTGATGCGATGTGTGAAAATGGCAAAATCTTGTTGAAACATAGTCGGTTATCATAGCTTGATAACGGTCGCCAATGTAGGTTACGTTCTTACTGCAATCATTTTTGAAATAATATGGACCGATAATTCTATCGGCCTACAAACCACACCAAACCGTGGTTTTTTTGCAAAATGAAATGGCAGCTCTTGTATCTCTTCAGGTGTGTCTTAGTCTCAAATGTCTTCCCGCTGTTCACTACCGTAGGTATATAGGTAGAGTGGATGTTTTATGACGCAATTGGACTATTAGAAAGTGCATTGTAAACCCTCCTTGGCACTAAAATCCTATGACTCTTCTATGTCTGCTCTGAACCGTTTTGTGCTCCTGAAGAAGTTTTTCAACACAACATTTTTGACCAGTGTAACCTATGAAACATCGTCAAGAAACCATAGACCGATAGTTGCAATTCTTTTTCTATACAAAAGCTTTGCATTCACATAAAATATGATCTATAGTCTATTCTTCTTTTACTTCTTAACAGCTTCTAAAATAGGTAATCTCTACATTGGTTATATTCACAATAGTTATTGTATGGCGTGCTCAGTCTGCTGGCTCTGCAACTTACTATTGTAAATTCTGCTACAATTTTTTAGTAGTCAAGACTCGAACCATATGTTGTCTTTTCTGTACTCAAACCAACCGCTAGCAGCAACCATTCGGTACAGAATACTTAGGGTTATAAAAGGTCCGTAGGGTAATCTGGCCTGTTTTTTGACATTTGTTTTTTTTTTTTATAGAAATTTTTATTCTTCAATAAAACTTTTTTCACATATCATGAGGTATATCGTAGAGTGTATTAACAAATTTTTTCCGAACATTTTTATGACATCTCTCGAAGGAGTGGCTGGGTGAATGGGACCGTTTTTGTACTCACTGGATTTGCCAGGCATGCCACCGCATAATTTACAATTGAAGGTAGGATCTCGAATTAACTTGCTTGGTAATTTAAACCTGTCACGGCTGTGCAACGGTACGCGATTAGTTATTAGAAAAATCTTGCAAAACGTTATCGAAGCCAGCATTTTAAATGGCACCTACAGATGTGCCAGTTCAATTCAATCTGGAAATCAGTTTCCGACTAGATTGGCATTTGCAATGACAATCAACAAATCCCAAGGCCAAACGATGGCTATTTGTGGCTCAGATTTGAGTACACCATGTTTTTCACAGGGGGCATGATGTATGTAGCATGCTCTCGTGTGGGTAAACCATCCAGTTCGCTTGTGCTCGCCGCTAAAGAGGGGCTAACAAAAAATCTTGTTCACGCTATAGCATTAAAAGATTAATGTTGTTTGTTGTTTGTACTTAAAAACAATATTGTTTGGTGTTTGTTTTTTATATTCCCTTATCGTTCACGCATAAACGTTACTACTACACTTGGAGTACAGTTAAAAACACTATAATTGATCAGTTAACGAGCGGGATGAAAAATGTTTGAGTTACTAAAATGGCTATAAAGAAATAGCTGTTGGTAATAAACAAAAAAAAAAATAAAACTTCAGGGTTCTTTGTATATTTTAATGCCACATTATAAAAAATAAAAATAAAAAAAGTCGTCTAAAAATTTCAAAAAAAAAAAAAAAAGAAAGAAAAAAAATTTAAGTGTGACTCAGGGGTATGGAAAATGGATAGTGGCCGATTCTCAGACCAACTGAATACGCATATAAAATTTGGTAAAAATTGGCAAAGCCGTTTCGGAGGAGTACATTAACTAATATTGTGACATGGAATTTTTATATATCGGATAGAACATAAACTAGATAAAGTTAAAAAATAATTATTGAAATATTAGTACACAATTCTTCTTTCTTCTATTTTCGCCTACCCTTTTAACCTTTTAACTTTTTTGGCAAAATCAATTTATTTTATTCAAAGTAGGCTCCTTCTGCTTCAATACAGCTTTTTGCACGGTCTAAAAGCATGTCGAATGAGTGTTTTAGCTCGCTGTCCGGTATGGCCGCCAGTATGCCGGTGCAACCCTTTTGAATGGCCTCTAGGTCTGATGCGAAAATAAAGAAGTGAATACGAGGAGTGGTTAATGGTAAAATGTAATAATCAAATAATCGTTGGATTCTGAGCAAATTTGATCGTCAGTTAATTTGCGTGGAACAAACCGTGCACACACCTTTCGTAAGCCCAAATGTTCGGTCCAAATGCGATAAATCGATGTTTTGAAGTGTCCGATTCTATTTTAATGAATTTCAGTGATGATTTCGTCTGATTTTTGATGAATTCTCGCACAGTTTTGATGGAATTTTCGGTGATCACGGATTTTGATTGGCCCAAATGTTGGTCGTAATTTATGTCTTCATGATCACTTTGAAAACGTTGAAACCACTGGTGCACTCTAATACGGGATAGGCAATCATCGCCATAAATTTGTTTCATCAATTGAAACGTTTCGGTACAAGTTTTACCAATTTTAAAATAAAATTTAATGTTGGCTCTTTGTTCGAAGCTCATTTCCGCACCGATAACACAAATATACTGACACTTAAAAAGCAATAACTGGCCTTCCGAGCAATGAAATGTCATGAAGTTCACACCGAACGATCGACAAAGATAGCATATTCTAACGCACCAGTCGACATATAGATGGCGCCACCAGGAGGCGCTGGATTTGAAAGTTACCTGTTTACTTTGGAACGCACCTGTATAATAAAATTAAAATCCGTTTGTGAATCGAAATCTTTAAGGGTTAGAGTGAAGCTCTAGTTCGTGGAAAAATTTATAATTTAGTTTTCGATCTGATCCGGTTAATACGTGATAGTACTATTTCGAAAATGATCAAGCGAAACTGTATCTGCTAACAATATCGCATAGATATCGCCGCTATCATCACTGAATTCTTAGTTCAAGAGTTTCAGAGAGAAAGCTCGAGCTTCATAAAATACCATGATTTCATACACTATGTGATAGCGACATCCGTGGATATTGCTGGAATATGCATTGCTGCGAAGTTCGATCGAAGGAGCCAGGAAGCTGGTTATATGAGGGGATCCAAACGGCAGATCATGAAATTCTCTGCTACTTGAACTGCATCCCTGAAAATTTGGACCATTACGGTGCTGCTTTTATGCTATTCACGTACCAAAGAAACATACATATGTAAACAGAAAGAATTGACGCACTGAGAGTTTTCAGTGACGAACTGAAGCTGGAAGAGAAGGTTAAGCAGACAGTTTACTGTAGACAGCTCTCCAACAAGCTCAGCTTTAGTTTAGCGGATCACTAGAGTATTTTTTTAGGCAAAAGTGACTGCTAATAAAATTGGTGAACATCCACTTCGACAACAGAGCTGCTGTTGTAGCAGTAAGCTGTAGTAAATTAGTCAAGGTGTGTCTATCCTCACTGGAAATAGCATCAAGCTTCTTAATTTATACACATGACAGAGAAAACATTATAAGCGATGAGCTGACAAGAAGGGCACACCTTTACATCGGAATGGGAAGTAACTCATCTCCGATAAGCTGAAACTGCGAGATTATTTTGACTTTGCATACAGGTAGAATGCAATAGATCCACTAAATAAATTGTACGTAGAACCGTTTAACTTGCAGCAATCGCAGAAGTTCTTACTGGACATTACTGAACGCAAACTGTCAAAGTTGAGGGTGGAAACATCCAGAAACTTTGTTCTCCTTTAGCCAACCAGGAGACGTTGAAAAAACTGACACCACTAGCCTCAAAAAATTTATCAACTATATAAGAGTTTTACAAACCACAAAGAACCAGCCCTAGACTGTCCACATGACATCTCTATTGGGATCGAACTCCTCCCTTAAATTAACCAATCCTCATAATCAAGAACTTGAAATAGTGTTAAGTCAACACCCAACGTTAGATATTTCTTCAAAAGTTTTTTTACACAAAAATTTACGCTCATAATACCTTTCAGCTCTGCAGCCCCGCTTGCACCGAGTTGGAAGTAGTTGTTATGGATTGGTTGGCGAAATTCTTCAAATTGCCAACACATTTCCTACACTCGACCAAAGGACCTGGTGGCGGAATTATACAAGGTTCAGCCAGTGAGGCTATACTGATCGCACATTGCCGATACGTCTAATTTCCGTCGATAAGTCTCTGGTATTTAAGGGCACACAGTTAGCCAAAGCGAAAGCAAAGTGAAGTTGCATTGCTACAATGGACGCCACAGATATTCATTCAGATATCGCGGCATAAAGGCAGCTCCTTTTCGTGCTGTCGAAAGCAGCTTTGAAATCGACGAAGAGGTGGTGTGTGTCGATTCTCCTTTCACGGGTCTTTTCCAAGATTTGGGGCATGGTGAATATCTGGTCGGTTGTTGATTTGCCAGGTCTAAAGCCACACTGGTAAGGTCCAATCAGTTTGTTGATGGTGGGCTTTAATCTTTCACTTTGCCGCAGATTGTGGGATCTCCCATTTTGTGGTTTGGACTGAGCACACTTAAATTTGTCCATATTTTATAAAGAAGCTGATGCATGCACTTTATCAGTTATTCGACGTCGTATTCGAATAGCTCGACCGGCAATAGCATTCAGGCGGTCCATCATCATCGATTGAGGAGTCGGGTTCGCCTTCTCCTGGCGTTATATTTTCATTGCCATTCAGCAGGTTGGAAAAGTTTTCCTTTCATAATTTTGTTATGCTCTGAGCATCGGTCAGTAAATCACCTTTGGGGGTTCTACAATAGTATGCCCCTGTCTTGAAATCTTCTTTAGTCACCACATTTTTCGTAGAATTTTCGAGCTTAATACATGTCGGCCAGCTTGTCAAGCTCTTCGTGCTGAGACATTTCGGTTTGAAATTCCGTCCCACAGTTCTCTTATACCGAGTTGTTGACAAGTGCTCTCAGAGAGTAGGAGTAAAAGCCGGGTAGAAAATCGTTCGACTGTCTATTGTGATTGCGGCTTCTCGACGTCGAACGTTCCTTGTGTTTGTTGACGTGCGTTTTCTCTGCACAGAGGCGGGTGCGAATCTTGGCTGCAACAAGGTAGTGGTCCGAGTCGGGTTAGATTCTCGGAGCGTTACATCTAAAACCTTGGAGACGGGTCTTCCATCTATCACAACATGATCGATCTGGTTGGTGGTTTTTTGATCCGGAGACAGCCCCGACGAAGTCGATCAGTCTCATGCAGGTGCATGCCCTCAAATTGTAGTCTTTAAATCGTTTGAAATGGTCCTCATCAAAGGAAAGGTCTCTCATCCCAGGCCTGTTGTTTCTTTTCATTGGCTGCGTTTTTTACGTGGCAAGTCCCAAATTCAGCTCAGAAGCCTGCGGAGGGGATGTTTCGCCTTCTCACTTTTGCTCAACATCAAACGGATGTTCCTTGACTATCCATAGGATACTTGGTCAAAGACCGGAAGTCGTGAGCTGCTTGAGCAATATGTAAAAGAACCGTTTCTGGGCACTCCCAAGTGAATGGCGATCAGAGAAGATTCCTCACTTGCGTATACTTCTACACGTGACTCCATCCTCCTCCATAAAAGATCTGTTTGACTCAATAAATGGAAACAATTTAATCAGCGTCTTTCTGGAGTGTGTGAAGCAAACTGAGAGACCAACCAAAAGTTCGCAAAATTTTTGTTAGGCAGCAAAAAGTGCGACCTGGATGCAGGTGCACAGGTGTAAACCTCTCAATAAAAAAATGGAACGCAACCTTGAAGTAATGCAAACGCAGTTTCAAGTTGGGTGACAGCTCCTCAGAGACTGATAATGCGGAAAGCTTTTTTCATCCCCCTAAACCAAAACACAAAAAAAAATATATATATATATAAATATATATATATATATATGCTGGCAACAAACCCGTAGGCATCCCGGTCGCAGGGAAACTACCCTCCTTACGGCCTAGAAAATACAAATTTTCAACTGACGCAGATGGTTTTATAAACAAATTTTAAAATACCATTTTCTCTGGTTAATTTTTTCTTTATAAAAACACCAAATACCCTTTGCATTTGACAATATGACCCACCCTAATGTGTACCGGAAATATTGCAATTTCAAAAGTGCAATCAGTAATTATTTTATTTCTAAGTTATTTATGAACATGGTCAATTAAATGCATAGTTCTGATTTATTTGCATACATTTATCACCTTAGTGTGATAAGCATAATTCATTATTGTAAATGGCACACACCTTTGCTTAACGAAAGCAAACAAATAATTCCAAAAAAACAAACACAAAATTAACGATCAGTTGACAATGTATAACGCTGCAATAAAGTTGATTAGATAGCGCTTGGAGATCAAGTTGAAGGTTTGCACAAAAATATATATGTACATACATATACACATTCATATACATACATATACATCTCCACGTGCGCATGCAGTGCTGGCCATCATTAAAGTTTGTTTATGTTCTTCGCCGCTTTTGCAGCAATATTGAGATCCTTAGCAAAGGGATACAGTGGTGGCGAGACATATTGGAGCAAAATAAAATAATAGTTTGTTAAATGAAGTTGCTTCTATTTCTACATAAGCGCAGCATTTGGAAATTTCTAAGTAAAATATTAAATAAAAATATTAAAAAAAATATTAAAATATGAAATTTTTTTTTTTTTAATTTTTCTAAATTCCTGTCTCTTATACACATCTTTATTTGAAAATATATTTGAAATTATAATTTTTATATTATTTGAAATTATAATTTTGACTTAAAATTTGGAAGAATTAAAATAACAAATAAAACGAAAGAGAAAACACATTAACTTCGGTTGCACTAAGGCAAGAACATCCTTCACAAATAATAAAGTTTCTATAACCGACTTATTTTTTGTTCGGTCGTTTTGTATGGCAGCTATAGCGAAGTCCGATCTAAACAATCTTCTCAGCTATTGTTACACTACCTTAGATTATAAACTGTGCCAAATTTCGTGAAGATACCTCGAGAAATAAAAAAGTTTCTCATACAAAGTTTAGATTCCGATCGCACAGTTTTTATGGCAGTTATATGCCATCGTCATTCGAAATCTGCGTTTCCGCCAAATGAGCAAAGTTTCAAATCAACAGCTCTTATAAAGATGGACCAGTTTGCCTATATAGAGACAGCCGAACAGTCATGGTTGTATTAACGCCTTTCATCCGCGAGTTAAAAACTTCGTGATAAATTTAAAACCCCACTAAAACATCATCAACTTCTTCCATGGCTTTTGATAAAGTTAAAAAAATAATTACTGAAATATTGCTGTACAATTCTACTTCCTCCTTCTCGCCAAGCCTTTTAACAATCACAATTTATTAGCCATCAGTAGTAGTAAAATTTTATGAATTTTCCACGGCGTACACAGTTTACTACGGAAAGTATAAAAGACTATCGCGGAAGTGAACTAAGCACAGTATAAACACCGCGCCACAACAAACCATTTTCTCGCGAAACAACATTTGGAAAAATTTCTATAAAAAAAAAAATTCGAAAACCAAAAAATTGTGTAAAAGTTAAAGAGTTAAAGAAGTTAAACAAATCGTGAGTATTTTGACGATTTCAAATTATATTCCAAATTTTTATTAAGCAAATATTATGATCGGCGATATACATATAATAAAATTAGATGCCGATTGTGAATCGAAATCTTTAAAGTTTGGAGTGAAAACTGTAATTCGTGGAATAATTTATAATAGAGTTTTCGATGTGATTTGGTTAACACGCGATAGTCCTGTTACGAAAGTGATCAAATGAAACTGTATCTGTTTACAATGTCCCTTTGATGTCGGTGCTAACATCACTGAAGAGTTTCGGGGGAAAAAACTCGAACTTTTCTACACAAACAAAAAGTTTCTAAAAATAGCGTTTCACCCACTGTGTGATATTGACACCAGTGGCTATTGCCGGCAGGTGCATTGCTGCGAAGTACGATCAAAGCAGCAAGGAAGCTAGTTATATGAGGGGATCCAAACGGCAGATCTTGACATTATTTGTTACTCCAATTGGCGCAATGAGATTTTTCGGTGATGGACCGAAGGTGAAAGGGAAGATTGGGCAGAAAGCTTACTGTAAAGAGCTCTGCGTTCAGCTTAGATTTAGACTACCGGATCACTGTAGTTTTTTTTTAAGTAGAAGTGCCTGCTATTAAGGTCGCAGTAGACATACTGCTGCGAAGTGTAGTTTCTTTAAAATTGGTGCATATAAGGTCGCTAATTGTGCGCTCAAAATTAATCGATGAATGGCTATCCTTTCTAGAAACACCAATAAGATATTTAAGTTTCGTACTCTCTTGAGAGCATCGTTTTTGCGGAATCGTTATAAAAGATAATCTGACAAGAAGGACGCATCTTTATTTCGGAATGGTAAGAAGCTCATCGCCGTTGTCATACTTAGAAAGAATTCAAAACACAGTGTTTGAACAACATTCCCAGTCCTTGGTTAATAATTTGATAATATTACTCTCTAATTTTTCTTTCCTTATTCATATGGAGTTTAGATTTATGAAGAACTTTTATATATAAAATAAATACCCAAAATTACTACCATATTTCTTTTCACAGCATAATTAAATTATATGATCTTAAGTTCAAAAGATTGCAACTAGATATGGACGCGGACACCTTCAGAGAATTCGGTAAAGCTGCTGTGGACTTTATAGCCGATTATTATGAGAATTTACGCAATTGGTAAGAAGGAACAGTGATTCATCAAAAATATACCGAAAAACATTTTCTTTTTCACAGCGATGTTCTACCTTCTGTAGCGCCAGGCTATTTGATCAAACAGCTACCGAAAGAGCTGCCAGAAAATCCAGAACAATGGCAGGAAATTCTGCAAGATGTTAGTAAGCTCATCGTACCCGGCTTAACTCATTGGCAATCACCGAATTTTCATGCATACTACTCAATTGGCTGCTCGTACCCATCCATTGTCGGAGATATGCTTGCCAACGGCTTTGGTGTGATGGGCTTTAATTGGGTGAGTAGACATAATCTCGAGAGTCGTTAGACATTTCTTCAAAAGTTCGATTTTTGTACGCATAAATTGACTCTCACACTGTCTTTCAGATAAGTAGCCCCGCTTCCACCGAGTTAGAAATGGTTGTCATGGACTGGTTGGCGAAATTCTTCAAACTGCCAGCACATTTCCTACACTCGACCAAAGGACCTGGTGGCGGAATTATACAAGGTTCAGCCAGTGAGGCTATACTGATCGCTGTGATGGTGGCGCGTGAACAAGCGGTGCGACGCGTGAAGGCCGCCCAACCACATCTGAGCGAGGGTGAGATACGCGCACGTCTTGTCGGCTACTCCAGCGATCAGAGTAATTGTTGCGTAGAAAAAGCGGGCATTTTGGGCGCATTGCCGATAGGTCTAGTTGCCGTCGATGAGTCTCTGGTATTTAACGGCACACAATTAGCCAAAGCAGTGAAAGAGGACCTGGCGAAGGGGCTCATACCTGCAATTTGCATTGCTACAATGGGCGCCACAGATACATGCTCGTATGATGACATTGTGTCGTTGGCGACCGTCTGTGAGGAGCATAACATATGGTTGCATGTGGACGCTGCTTACGCGGGCTGCGTATTAGCATTGGATGAGTATGCGCATCTGCGGCAAGGACTCGATCGCGTCGATTCGCTAAACTACAATCCACACAAGACATTGCCTATCAATTTTGAATGCTCGGCTATGTGGTTGCGTGACTCACATAAGATTGTCGAGAGTTTCACTGTAAAACGCATGTACTTGCAACATAAGTACGAAGGTGTAACCGATATACCAGAGTTTCGTCATTGGCAAATACCGTTGGGACGTCGCTTTCGTGCACTCAAGGTTTGGATAACTTTCCGTACTCTTGGCGCTGAAGGTTTGCGTGAATATATTCGCCTTCGTATACGTCTGGCCGAGCGTTTCGAGCAGTATGTGCTAGCCGATTCGCGTTTCGAGCTATTCGCCAAACGTTCCATGGGTCTGGTCTGTTTTAGAGTGAAGGATAGTAATGACTTATCTACAGAGCTTTTGAAGCGTCTAACAGATCACAAAAAGATCTATATGGTGCAAGCGATATTTCAGGGAAAGACTTTCCTACGTTTTGTCGTCTGTGGTGTGGAACCGAAGGAATGTGATATAGACTTTGCTTGGCAAGAAATTGATTCACAACTGAGCCAGCTGCTGAGTGAGCAGGAGGTAATGAAGCTTACAGTAAATTCGAAGGAAGAAAAGAAAGCAGAAGAGAGTCACAAGAAGATCGTAAAAGTACATTAATTGCACCACAAAGATGACGTGGTAAAGTCTACATCTAAATTTAGGTGGCGCGGAGAAAAGTTAATGAAATTTCAAATATATGAACATAACCTTATATTTATATGCCAATTTGGCTAAACTATTTAACCAAATATTATATTAATAAATTACCCAATAGCTACTGAGAACGTTTTCCTTGAATTAACTTAGTCTAAATATTAGCAGTCAATTCACTTGAAACCAACAATGAAATAAGTAAACCTCTTTATTTTCATTTGTCATATCCATGGGCTTATCGCGGTATATCGCGGTTATAGCCGAGTTTGCAACAGCGCGCCAATTTGAGACACTAAGTGCAGTCAGGTCCTTCTCCACCCGATCTCTTCAACGAAGTTGAGGCCTTCCATTTTAATTCTGTGGTTATGACTGTCAACAGCGACGTGGCAGCTTAGTGGTGAGTGCGACGACTGCTTGTTTGATTATAGGAAATATTTTGTCATGCTCTCGTTCACTGCCAGACGCATTTGATTTGCGTCCCCGGCGCGGTTTTTTTAGGGCAACAGTATACACTTTTATAGAAGATGGTTCCTTATCTATTTAGTTGTCCAGCTTCAATTATTTTCTACAGCAGTAGATTGAAGTCGCACAATAGGGAGTCGACGTGTCTGAAACCTCATTTGGTGTCGAACGGCTCGGAGACGTCCTTACCGATCTTGATGGATTTACATAGAATTATTTTTATCAACTGCCTCAAAGATGGTAATAAAATTATTAAACTGTGCGTTCCTGGATAAATTGTATGTCAGAATCCATCTTAAGCGAACCGGTTAGGCCATTTACTATTCCTACCACGTAGTAGAATATTACTAAATATTTGTAAAGGGTTTATCTGCAAAGTGATAGGATTGATTTTCTTCCCCCGTGACTGTACTTCGAAGCGTACGTGCTCCGACTGAATTCAATAGAGTGCGTTCCTAGCTAACTAAAGAGCGACTGCTTAGATGTCTCCGAGTCAGGACAAACCTTTTCGCGCGAGGTGTTTCTGTGAGTGGTGCAAGCCGAAAATGCAGCGTTCGTCAGAGCAGGAATGCCAAGAAAATTTGAACATATCTGAATGTGACCCCCAGTTTTTTAACAACGTGACCACAAGTGTTGAATCATAGTTTTTTGAGTATGATCCTGAGACAAAGAGGCAAATTTCCGAGTAGCGCACGCCGTGAAAACGATGGTCATTGTCTTTTTTGATTCAAAGGCATCGCCCACCAAAAATTTGTCCATCCTGAACAAACCGTCGACGCCAAGTTTTAAGTGGAAGTCCTCAGGAGACTCAAACGAAAGGTCAATCGGGTTCGCGGCAAGACATCGCAGCCGATTGGAAGTTGACCATGACTACGCGCCGGCTCACACCGCCTTTCTTTCAGATACTTCTATTCAGATACAGATGTGGCCCCGCCGGACTGTTTGGTTTTTTTTTTTTTTTTTTGGTTTTGGATCTACCTTTAATATCCGCTTCACTAAATTTGTCACAGCGTTAATTGTTGGCAGCAGCAAGTACAATTTGCTTGTTGCGACAAATAACAGACAGACACATAACGAGTAGTACCGTAATAAAATAAATAAACACGACTCCCTCACTCAGTGTGAATGGTAATGTGCAAAATCCGAGTCTAGGGATTATCAGCAACAACATACACAGGATGGCATACAATAATCTACAGATACCCGAAGCTAGGCGGTCACATTGGAAACACTGTCAACAATGTATTTTGGTGATTGCAACTAACTGCTCGCAATATTGGCGTTATGCCAGGGGAAATAGTCGAATGTGGATAAGGCAATAATGGTATTTTTGTATATGAGCTTTTGTGACGGACAAATATATTTATGTACATTTGTAAGTTAAAGCGAAAAGAACAATGTTTGGTGCGCAGTGGTCGGAAATTGCAAATAGCTGTCGGCCTAAATATGCCAATAGGACATATTTTATATTAAACTTTTTATGTGCAAGATTATCATAAATCAAAAATTATTTTCAAAACGAGTTGAGCTGCTTAGATGAAGAGTGAACCATTTCGATTCTACCTACTTTTTTAAAGAAAAGACATACGACTCTTTAAATATCTTCCCCTTTATATGTGAAGAGTCTATGTTATTATGCTCATTATAATTCTCAAGAACATTATTCGGCTTCTATTTTTTGAGGATTACCTCTTTCAAATGTTAGCCTCAACTACGTCTCAGATGATCCATCCGTTGAGTCTAATTTTCTTTGGCTCGAATATTATATTTCGACTGCTAACTGGCGAATGACACGCACGATGTTGTGCTCCAAGGCCTGAATCGAAGCGAGATTGTCCACTTAGACTTTGAACTGTACCTATCCTCACAGAAAAGTGTCTAACGGTGTGATATCAGATGATCTTCGTCGCCAATTGACCGACCCAAAACGTGAAATTATCTGCACTCCAATGTATTCTCTCAATAAATGCATTGATTTATGTGGTGTGTGGGAAGTGGCGCCGTCTTGTTGAAACCAAATGTTGTCGAAATCACGAGCTTTTAGGCATCAAGTAGTCGGTAACGGTCGTCATTGACTGTTACATCCTCACCGTAATCATTTTTGACGAAATATGGGCGGATTATTCCATCGGCCTGCAAACCACACCAAACTGTTTTTTTTTTGTTCTCGATAAAATGGATGCTTTTGAATATCTTCAGATTGCTCTTCGTCCCAAATGTGGCAATTTTGCTTGTTTACATACCCATTGAGCGAAGATAGGCTTTCCCGTTGTTCACTACTGTATGTAAATAGGTAGAGTGGATGTTTCATGACGCAATTAGACCTTTAGGCAGCGCATTTTTAAACCTGCCTGCGACTAAACTGCTCTGACTCTTGCATGCCTTCTCTGAACCAACTTGTGCTACTGACGTAGCTGTTTTTCAGTACAAAATTTTTTTTTCCTGTGCAACTTTTTAAACATCGTCATTTGCATAGCTTTCCTATACAAAAGCTTTACGTCTATAGTCTACTCTTCTTCTACTTCTTGACAGCTTCTACAATATCTCTACATTGGTTATATTCACAACAGCTATCGTATGGTGTGCTCAGTCTGCTGAATCTACAATTGACTATTGTAAATTTTGCTACATTTTTTTTAGTAGCCAAGACTCGAACCTTATGTTGGATTTTTGTGTTCAAACCAACCGCTAACAACAATACAGTTCGATACAGAATACTTTAAGTTATAATAAAAACATATTGTTTACTTTCCATACTATTGATATAATCGATATAAAAAGTTATTCGATAAGATAAAAAGTCTCAGAGTTTTCAATAAAGAATGGAACGGTGGCCATTGAAAAAGCTAAGAAGATATTATATGGTGAGATTGAACGCAGCAAGCTGAAAAAATAACGGAAAGAGTAGAAAAGAGTAACATTTTAAATAGAAAATAAGTAAACAATAAATTTTATAATTATTTGTGGCGAGAAAAAATATTGAACAAATTAAAAAAAAAATTAAAAATTAAAAAAATTGTAATAAGTTTGAAAATTTTTTGAAATTTTTTTTACAAAATTAGCAGGCAAAAAAGCAACTTCTGTTGATAAATGATATTATTACAATTATTTTACAAAATATGAGCAATCACGCACAAACTTTAAAGAACATAATTAAACAAATTCCTTTCCACCATCAACTAACGGCAAGTTTTAGCTACGTGTACAGTTATCAACACTCATTTTCAAATTGTCACAGGCACATCGCTTTGTGTTCGTATGTTTAGCTCTTTTGCATAACAAAGCAATTTATTTGCGGCGACAGTGAATTTTGCATGGCCTATAATGCTCTCTCGGTCGCTTGATGTGCGCCATATTTCTGACAAAGCTTTGAGTGTGGGTTTATTTGCAATACTTTCGCTACTTTCATGCCGTTTCGTCTATTATGACTGACAAAAAAGGTGCAAATAATTGCTTAAACCGTAGCAAATGCATTAGGAGGGATAAGTTGGTTCGAAGAAGTGATTGAATTTCATTCTGAGATAGAAATAACGGTTTCGGAAACTTCTAATAAGATAAAGATAGATAATCGATTCGTTATTTTTTAAATTTTTCTAAAATTTTACTTTCAAAGTTCGTTCAATGATGATTGAATCTTGAGGCAAACTTATAAAGAGAACCCAACATTTCGGTAAAATAAGAGTCACTATATAAATATAAGTAGCCCCTGGCATATCAAATATATAACATCTGACATCCTTCTCCATTTGGTCTGACCCCGTCGTATCAGCACGTTTCCTGGGCCTGTTGTTGGATGACGGCGATGATAACTTATCTAAATGCTTATCATCCTAACGGAGTTCACATACCCGTTACAAGAACAATAACAGCAACATGAATCTAGTTTAAGTTTTTCTATGGAAAACTTTGTAATATGGCAGGATCTTCTTCTTCTTTGGCACTAAAACCGTGGGTCCATCTGAGCCGAGAACATAAAGGGTAGCCAGTTTCCCCTTTCCTTTGCGAGGTCACGCCAGGGATACATTCCAATTGCATTTAGGTCGTTATGTACTTGGCTCTTCCATTAGACGCGTGGGCGACCTTGTTTCCATTGTCCATGCATTGGTCTGGAAGCATTTTTTCGCTGGATCAACATTTTCCATATGAACGCAGTTCGTTGAATATTTACGTGCTTAACTATATATATGTCACAGGGTTCTATTTTCTTCGATTTTCGACGTTCTCGCGAACAGCTCCAAAGACTTCGCCGAAAACAGTTTTCTCGCGGTAATAATAAAGAGAATATAAGAGAGTTATATGTATATCCCAATATTTTTTCATCTACAGACCATCTGCTACTCAATTTCCTCCAAACGTCATAGTATTCTGTACTTGTTTCCAAGCGTAGATTATTGATGGCATATGTACTAATAAAGTAGTTTACTGTTTCAAATTTATTACTACCAGGACTGACTTTGTTCACAAGATGCATGGAACCTTTGCCTTCTCGCTCCAGGTACTTTGTCTTTGCATCTATTGCCAACGTCTTTTGTTTAATTTTCTAGACTTTTTCGACAAAAAGGTTGATGGGTGTCGAGGTTCTTCAAGTACCTTCAATCCACGTCGCAAAAATGGCTCTGTACATAAACCATAAAGTCCCATAAGGACTTGTGTCACAACTCGCGTGGTCTCCCTGCTTGCACAGATAACCACGGGGTTCATAAAGGCAACTCTTACAACGTGCGGAGATAGCCGCTTAAAGCGATACCCATTAAAACAAAAATGAATACACCATAACAACAAAAAACCCCCAAGAGAAAGAACAACGGAACCGTCTTCCGTAGAAGTAATAGGATACTTTTATTCTCTACACTAAACCACCCGAAAAGACTGTAAAAAGTTAGCATCGAAGGAAATTCCGGCCACACAAACACCACCGGCAAAAGAAGAGAAGTCCCGGCCGGAAGGAATTCGAAGTGTACCACACCTGGATAATCGAAGAATACTGTCAACATAAACTTAATTTTTAAACTTCTTTGACGTGGTTTTTTCAGCTTCGGCTCACCTTTGCCACGATATTCGATCGATTGATCTTCTGTTTCCTGGTCGCAAGCACAGATCCAAAACTCATCACCAGTAATCATTTGTCCCATAACATTCCTGTAGTCGGAAACCATTGTTTCACAGACGTTACTGCGGTGCTGTTTTTTTTTTTTTAATTGTGTGATTTTGGAACCTATCATTTTTATTAGACGCAAATGATGTTTGAAAATGGTTTAAACTGATTCTTCTGAGATATCAACGACGTCAGTACGCTGTTGACTGTTAGGCGTCGATTCTCAATATTATACCCCTCAAAAATGACCCACACTAATGTAAGTAGTGTTTATTTGTAGCTAACCAACAAAGAACCATTATTTATAAGGACAATTTTTACATGGCATGTAATTGAATGCAGTTGCATGCCCCAGTAACCTACTTCGTGGCAAATTGAAATGAAACATGATTGTATTTGAATTTTATTTTGAGTGTAATATAGCTTGTGTATTTAGAAAAGTGTTAGCTTTATTAGCTTTTACATTGAGTGAACAGCGGTATTAAATACATACCATACATACATATGTACATACAAAGAATGTTTATGTTTTTAGGCAACTAAAATATTAAGTTGTCGAGTGTTTAATAGGACTTGAGGGACAGACAGTTTACAGAGTCTATAAATTAAGTTGTTTAAAAAAATACAATTTGGATATTATTTGCTATGCTAGAGAGCGCTTGACCGCTTGTTATTTTTCATATAAATATAATTATTTAAGCATTATTTAGGCATTGTGCTACATACTATAGACTCTACTGTGTACGCATATATAATATTTTGGTTAAATGAACTGTCCATTAGCACGGCATGCTTACAATATTTCCACTTATTTGCAATTTTAAACTCCACTTCCGCACGTATTAGGCGTAAATATTCACCACATACACTGTGCAACATATAAACTATATTTGGAATTAGTTTTGCTGCTTACAAAAAAATTACAATTTACAAATTGTTAATACGCTAAAAACTATCTTTTATATAAAAATACAAATACACATAACAATATACACATATTTTATTTTTTTTTTAATTTAAAGCAAATAAATAAAGCGATACGATCGATTTTTAAACAGTGTAGTTTGTAGCTGTCATTACATTTAGTTAATTTCTATTTTCACTTCGTTTTATTTTTTACAATTTTATTCAACTAATTAGCATAGAGGGTGAAGTACTAAGCATAAACTAGAAACTAAGCTATTGAAATTGTGTTAAAATGCTCTTTGGTTGGGTTTCACTACGATTTGCTGTTGAAAACTTAATAAAAAATACACAAACTTCATTAAAATTAATAATAACAACTAATTTCTTTAAAGAAAACTATTATCTAAAGAGCAAATAGCTATTTACAAATGTTTCTTTTTGACCAAATATTACGGTCACGGGCATTAGAATGGAGACACTTAGAATTTTTTCGTTGTAATCAGTTAGTTGGTGCAGCAAGTTCGGGACTGTGCGAGGTGTACGTTTTGTGAGAACTGGTTGAAATAGTTCCGCTTGGAAAAATTGATTAAAATTTTTTATAGAAAAAAATCAAACAAAAATTAAAAATTAATTTAATTA